GAAGGCGTCTCCTCAGGAGCAAAAATTTGGCCTTTTCGTGTAACTGCCCTCGGACAAGAGGGGCCCTGGTGCCCACCCTGTGGTGAACGCTTAGCTGCCCTCTGAAAACAGCTCTGTTAGTCGGCTGTGTGCTCCAGTCTCTCTTCTGGGTGTTAGTCTTTACTGTTGGTGTGTTACATTCGTCCACTTAGTTATATACGATTTTTCAGATTATTATTTCCCGTTTAGGGGTTATGCTAAGGGCAGTGTTTTCCAAAGCACTCATCAGTTCCCCTTTGCCAAAGCCGGACGGCCTTGACGTGCGACGTAGCACTTGGTCTGTTGAATTCTTCCAGAATTTCTCTCTGTTTTAACACCTCCTGGAGGTCTGGCCCCAGCTGTGAATATAACCTTGCTTTGAAAACAAAGAACTCTGTCGTATTCGTGGTGTTAGCACTGAGCAGCACGTAATGCTTGCTGTACATAAGTATTAATTTTACTTTTTCTTATCTGCATTTAAAACCGTTCATTTAGTAGCGATGTGCTGCCCATGTGAATTACAGTTTTATTTTTTTTAAACCCTCTGTGTTCTACAGAATGAAGTTGGCAACATGAGTGTAGAGACTGAGTAAATACGGTGGGGTCTGCCTTATTAGGCTGTGTGTTGTTCTTTTGCCCCAAATCCAGGAATATCCATAGACTTTTCTACTGGCACGAGTTTGTGTCAGATTTAGAACTCAGTTCTGCAGCTTTGGATGATTCAGGGGGAAGGAATTATTTTTAAAGCTCGTTTCAAAACTACATTTCCAGTATCGTGATGGAAATGTTTGTTTTCTAGGCTGGAAGTGCTGAGATCTTTGGCTTTAACTGGCCCTCGGGAGGGGAAGCTGACTCAGTCTCAAGAGAAAGTGAGTGACTAACAGACTTTTCCGTGTCTGTTTACTGCATCGTTTCAGAACCTATAATTAGGCAGTTGAGCTTATTGTAATAATATATTAGAACTGTTTCTGTAATTCATGTTTTTTGCAAGCTGAACTGAGGTGAGCGTTCGCCAACTCTGTTTCTGATTGCCCAGCAAGTGTGACCATCAGCTGACTCAGTTCTGCAAGGTTCCCTTCGAAGCAGGTGGTGAAGCACAGCAATCGGGTATTCCAGCTGCTGCTGGAAGTCAGGCTTCAAACCACACACCATTTTCTTAACTGAGCGATGTGTTTTTGTGGATTTGTGCAGCATGGTAAGTGCAGGGTGTAATTTGGAGAGGTCACTGCTGTCTCTTGGAACGTGTGAGATGGTTCTGGAGTATTCAAATTCTGTTAGTAATTGGAGCTACTGTAACCTTTAATGAAATTTGGCGTGTATTACGATTTTTAATTACTTCTTATTCTTGTAGTGAGTCTTGTGGAAGTTTTTAATTTTAACGTGCATTCCTTCCTTAAGTAATGCTTCTATTTCAAGCAAAACTGCTCAGGAATCCCTAAAGTAGCGCTGCCTGTTACATTGCACTAATAATGATTTTGCACGGCACCAAATGATAATCTCGTGCCTGGTTCTCATTTCACAGCTGATTTTTTTTGCTCCTTTGTACTCTAGGCACTAAACTCTCTGGGTGTTTGGAAGCCTGTCCTTGCTGCTGTTCCTGGGCCTACGTGCAGGACCTCCGTGGAGTGACGGCTCAAAGATGGGAGATCAGGACGCCGGTGAACCCTTCCTGGGCATAGTGGCTGGCGGTGCCACTGACTACGAAGGAGCTCTGCCCTCCGACACGGTGTCGCTCAGCGACTCCGATTCTGATGATCTGGGGTTACCAGATGAGGCAGAAGTTGATACAATATCTCCTGAGGAGCCATCTGTAGATGATGGGGATTACAGACCAAGAGAGACCTCCAACTCTTCAAACAGCAGTCACAGATCTCCTGTCCAGCCGTTCCACCTGCGGGGCATGAGTTCTACCTTCTCTCTCCGTAGCCAGAGCATTTTTGATTGCCTGGAAGAAGCAGCCAAGTTGTCTGTGCCCTCACTGGCCGAAGACAACGTTGTTGATGGGAGGTTTAAGCGCCCGTTGCCTCCAACCACGGTGTCAGAAAACCTGGGGAAGCAAGCCAAACCAGCGCAGGCTCCCAAAAGCTCCCCTGCAGTGCCTGACTACGTGGCACACCCAGAGCGCTGGACCAAGTACAGCCTCGATGGAGTTTCAGAGTCTAGTGACAAGACAAACAGGGCAGTGGCCATGGAATTTCTAGAGGGTTTGAAGAAAAGAGGAGGGGAACAAAGCTCCCAAGATAGCTACACCCCATATTTCAACCAGGACCCTTCCAGCTGTGGAGCTGGGAGGATTGTCTTCACCAAACCAGCCAAAAGGGGTGTGGATGGACTGGAAAAGAACGCATCAGCAGGGGAGGATGATAAGAAACACATGAAAATAGATCTGAAAGGAAAATCTTTGAAGAAGACTGATGACTCGCGAGAGGAAGATAAAGTGGAGCTGAGGCACTTAGATGGTGGAAGTGGAAGGGCAGCAGAGGAGGAGGAGTGTGTGCTAGCGGGCAGCCTCGGTACAGAAGATAAGCTCCCTGCGAGGTTTGGTGGCGCAGGTGAAGAGCCATCGGTAGAAACAGTTGGATTCCATTGCAGTAAGAAGAAGAACAGGAAAAATTTCCGCCTTAAAGTGGATGATGAAGGGGAGGAGGAAGAGTCCTGAAGGCTGGAGCACTCTGGAAACATCCAAGGACTTGTATTGTCTTTGAGTACGTTTGGGTTTGTCTCTGACATTTTTTCTTTCTTCTGGTCTGGAAACCATGTGATAGCTTTTTGTCTAATAGTTTGCATCATAACCACTATTGTTAGGACTTAAGCTGCCTAAAATACATTCCAGACTTTTTGTTCGTGAGAAGCCTGTGGGCACAGGATAGTTGCACCCTAGCAAAAGAGAATAAGGTGTGCTTTGTTTGCCTGGGCAGCGCTGGGGGACGTGCTCGGGAGCTGAAGTAGCGAAGGAAAAAGATGCATTAGCTAAAAGGCAGCAAGGCTTCCTGCTAACCCCCAGATTTAGAGCTGTTCCCAAATTCTGAAGAACCCTGCAACAAAGATGATGAGCTCATTATGTAGAGATTTACAGTCTCCCACTAGATGTGATTTTTTTCCTGGTCCTGTCCCAGGGAGGAAAACTTATTTTTAGTACGTCCTCCTCTGCTTGCTACTGAGAGCAAAAGCACAACGGTGCCTGGTTGTGGGCTCTGAGGGCCTAGGTGGGAACTGGCAAAAACAATATCATTTTTTGTAAGGTTGGGTTAATAACTTACCCTATTTAGCGTTACATGGTAAAGATTTAAAAACCCAGGATGGCTTCAGCAAAGTCTCCCCCCGGTCAGAACTGGCCACAGCTTCATCCTTCAGTTGGGCAGCAGCTTTTCCTCTTACTGGTATGACGTGATGTGCTGGTTCTCGGCCCGTGGGTGTGTGTGTCCTTCCCAGGCCGTGCTGCTGCCACAAGGATTCCCTGGGTGGGTTTGGTGGGAATGAGGGGTTTATACCAGCACTGGGTACTTTTCTAGTTTTTGGGTTTCAGTAAACTTTCAGTTGTCGTTCGATTTTTATTTTTATTTTTTTCCATCTCTTTGAACCACCCTGACTAACGCAGCTATGGGAGTATTGACAAATACTCAGTTTATTTGATTTGAGAAATGTCTTGAAAATCTTCTAGAATGTTACTCTAAGCTTACAGTCCTGTAACTTCTCCCTCAAGTCTTGTGTTTTAGATTCTAAAATTTTGAGTTTTAACACTCCCAATCTTTTAACAACGTACAGAGAATCACCTCAGGGTGAATCACCGCATACCGTGAATCACATTGTAATGAATGTCAAATATAGTTGTTTTTCACACAGAATCTAAAGAAATCTTGTAAATAAGGCTGAAAGATTAAATTCTTTGAAAGATTATACTCAAATTAGTTCGGGTCCATTTGGACTGATATTTTTTTTTGCCACTATTCTAGATTAACCAGCCCCAGTTTTGGTGTCTCTAATTGTGCAGTGAAAGATTACCTCTTTAGAATTTGTGATTTTTCTTGCTAGACTGTGCTTGCTCAAACTCAGAAGGATTTTTGAGGAGGTTACTTCCTTGGGGAGGGTGTCAGCATCTTATCAATAATTGATTGGGAGGTCCAAACCATTTGAGTTTTTGTGTTTGAACATGTGCAGCAGAAGCAGAAAACAACACAGATTGAATAATGCTGCTCCATCTTCTGAAATTCGCTTTTAATTGTAAAAGCAGAATGCATTTTCTCATCAGTATACAGTTTGATGAATATTAATTAACGGGTCATTGCCAAATAAATCAGTATTTCCAGTGAGTGTGAGGGGATGTAACAACAATTCCAAAAGGATAAATTTTGGTTTCCAGTGGATAATTAATGTCCCGATCGCAATTCAAATAGTAGCTGCTTCAGAGTGGAAGCTCCTGCCAGGAGCAGGGCATGCTGGTTGTAAGATACACATTATTTCCTAACAAAAAAATGTAGCTTGGTACAAACTTTCTGGTTTTATAACTTCTGCTTGCTTGGGGTGAAGAACAGGTAGGACGGCACTGAAATTCCATTTCTGTTGATGGGGTCACTGAGGTCTGGAGCTGAATAAACTGGACAAATAACTATTTTACGACATTGTAACAAGATTAATATCTATTAATAAAAGATGCAGGTTGGAAAGGTATTTTTATCAGATCTGAGAATCTTTTTTTCCTGCCTTTGGTAACCGAAAGCTATTGCATGACCTACATTTATGTTGCAAAGAAGCAGCATTTATATGTGAGGAAATTAAGTTCAGTTGAAGCTTATTGGTATAAGAAGGACCACAACCCAGTACTTCCCCCTTCCTTTGCTGTTTATATTATTCCAAAGAAATTTTCATTTAAAGGATGGTAGTAATACTCATTTTATTGGTGTATCTTTTCCTACAAAACTCTAATAAAGGCAGCTAGCTTTTGTATGCTTAAAATGCGCATGCCAGTGTAAATAATGAAAAGGAAAAAAATCACCGACGGTCCAAATTCCTCATTAATAGGAAAATTCTTGCTAAACGTTCTTGCTTTAAAGTCCGTGATTTTTTTTAATTTTTTTTCCTGACCTTTGAGAGACTTTAAAAGTAAAATGAAAAAACTACTGGGTGTTGATGTGGTGTCCGTGGGGCACGATACGTAAAGGCAAAGCCCCTGTTACCGGCAGCTACGAGCCGGGACTGAAGAAGAGCGAGCTGGGGAGGGTCACCCGCTCGGTGTTTGGAAGGTGACAGGAGGCTGTCCTGCATTTGAGCATCGCTCCGTGAGATTCCAGCCTCGGGATGAGGGAGGAGCCCTCCGTGAGGAACACAAGCAGAGGAACGCCTCGTGGGGCCAGCGTGGGAAGAGAAGGCGGTGAGTGGGAGCGTTGGAGGGTTGTAAGAACTCCAGAACGGTACGGGCTGTAACGGTGCCGTATCCCAGGCCCTTTCCTGTGGAAACTATTTATTGATTTCCTTTCTAAGCAACTGAGAAGTATGAGCTGGCTTTCTTGGCCAAAGCACTGGCTGATTTCCTAATGCGTAAGCGATCACCTTTCAAAAGGGAGACTCCCTTGAACCGAGAAACGCGGAAACTGGTGATGGCGGTGGGCTGAGGGTAGTAGTTGAGGGTAGAGTTGGAGAGAGATTGTCTTTAGAAAATTCAATGTTAAGAGTCATCGAGCAAGTTTTTAGTACAATTTGTGAAATGGAGTTTTGGAGAAAGGACCGAGCAATACGGGAGCAGGAGGGAAGAAGAAAGCCCAAGAAATAGGAGGAGGACCAAGAAGGGCTCGGTAGTGTCAAACATCAACGGTGTTTGGCATAAAGGCTTTGAGAGCTGGGCTTTGGGCTGTCAGGAGATTAGGATTTTATTTCTACAGGTGTTCAGTGGGACAACAAGTTTAATTCAAAGAAATGAGAATCGAATTTAATTATCGATGTATGCGATGTCGGCATCGGACTGATCTGCGTGCTCTTCTCTTTCACTTCTTTCTGGCAAAGGCGCTTCTGTGCTGGCATTCACCGCACCTGACAGGGTTGTAAAAGCCAGGTGCTTGTTTAAGAGCCTTGGGACAAGTGGCACATAATAAATGCTCAAGAAACTTTAAAATGTTGAAAATAGTTGAAAATAATCCACAATTAAAAGATACTGTAGATTCTATTACTTTGCATTTGCTCAGTAAATGGTAAAAAGAGGTTCTTATTTTTCGGCTATCGAAGTTCAATTTTTATGCAGTTGCAGTATTCAAATGTCTGGGGAACATACTACGGGATAGTTTTTCTGACTGGAATGTTGATAATGAAGCAATTTACATATGTGTTTTATAAGCTTCTAAGAATTAAGTCAAGTTTGAGGTTAGTTTGAGTGACTTGGCATCTTGTCACGTCACAACTTTGAGTTTCCAGCTACTTCTTTTTCCCGTGTAGTATCTATAATGTTCAGTTTATGAGTTCTGGAGGGCTACTCATGTAAGAGATAGTAATAAGGATTTCTTGAAATAGATCATTAAGAAGAATATCCAAAATCTTTATTGTGCTGGATATCCTGCAGTTGTTGAGAAATAGTCTGTGTCTGTTATAGTTCTCTAGTGTTTTTTAACGCCAAACAGTGGAGCCCTGGGACACAGGACGTGATGTTTAACTGATGGAAATTGTTGCAGCTCTGAAGGCAAATGAGCTGTGTTGATTACATAAAGTAGGAGGCTTGCTAAACTTTTATTTTAGTGATTACTTTTATCCGTATGAAATGTTTTGGTAATACTTTGGTAGTACTATCTCATTGACTCAAGAAACCCCCAAGACAATTCTCTTGGGGAACCCTGTGGCAAATAGATGCTTATTTACATGCTGAGAGTTGGGTGAGGTCATTCTACCTCACACTAAGGGACAGTCCTTTCCCCAGAGCTTTTAAATACGTTTTGCAAAAGGTAATTTTTTCATTCTAAAGTATGAATATCCTGTTCCTTCTTCATATTCTCTTTTTTTATTTCCTTGCATTTTTTTAAACTAAATTGTTTGGCTGTATTAATTAGCTTTTCCATGATGGTTTGCAATACTTACGTATGTTTGGAGCTGGTGGGTTGCACAAGAGGTTGGTTTTGGTTAAAACCTCTGCCACTGAGGAGATAACAGCTGTACAATAGCAAATCTGCAAAACAGGTTTTTACATCATCTAATTTTTGTGATTCTTTATCCATTCCTAAATTTGCAAGTAAGATAATCTAGGTGGCAGACTGAAGCATCACCAGAGATGCCATGTATGCTGCTTATTTCTTTAAAGAAATAGTTGAACTGTCTTGGAGGAGGATTCATATTAAATACCTTCCCTTTTTTTGTGAGTCTATCGCATTATCTCAAGCTGGCACAAATTTATTAAAGCATTTCTTGTGTGTTTCTGTTGGACCTATGTTTAGTATCAACATTGTTCATTGAATAGCATAACTTTTTTCAGGAAGCCATAAAATGGATAAGAAAGAGGAGGGAAACCACAGTGGGAATATTAAGATAAGGAACTTTCAAGCAAGGCCAGAATTACACTGGAGAGTTCTAGGGACAAGGAAAACAATAACAGTTGTTCTACGTAGCACATGGTAATGCTGAGACTATTTTAAAAAAAATAAAATGTTTGTTTATCTTTAAGGGTTTATGATCAAAAGCTCAGGA